GTGTTGTTAGTTTCATGGAATCAAGTTTTGTTTGGAGACTAAACAACTCGGATTTTCTACTTAATTTTAATATATTTAAATCAATTATATGAATTTTCATGATTACTTTATATGAGATTAGATAAGATATTTAGGAAAATTATTTAAAATATTAATTTTCTCATTTCTAAGATCATTTAAGTTGATATTTTGAACTCCCTCATCAATTTCATCATCACCAACATCATTTGTAATGAATGATGTTGGTTTCATCAAAAAATAATATGTATTGATTCTTGAGTGTAATAGATTACCCTAGAAAAAGGATGGCGGCCGATGCCCTAAGGAGACTATGGGGGGAGATGAGGGAACTAGGTCTCGGCGTCTCCGGCGATCTCCACCGCCATGATTCAGCTCCTTCTCCTCTGCAATTCCTCAGAGACCATGTCTCTCCTAACATGCCCTGCATAATCTCCCCGTCGGCCACCGCCCACTGGCCCGCCATCGCCCGCTCACTCTGGATCGACGACGACTATCTCTGCAACACCCTCCGTTCCCAGATCGTTTCGCTCCACCAAACCCCCAACGGCCGAGCCGACTCCCTCGTCCCCCTCCCCAAATCAAGATCGGAATCGGACGAAGATCGCCTCTGCTTCGCAACCCCTTTCGTCCAGCAGATTCCATTCCCGGAAGCCCTCCGGATGATCTCATCTCCAACCTCCTCCCCCACGGCTCCCGTGGCCTACGCGCAGCAGCAGAACGATTGCTTCCGTGGGGAGTACTCCGCCCTAGCGGCGGATGTTGAACCCCACATCCCATGGGCTACCGAGGCATTCGGCTGCTTCCCTGAGGCAATCAATCTCTGGATCGGAAACTCCCTCTCCCAAACCTCTTTCCACAAGGACCATTACGAGAATCTCTATGTCGTCATCACTGGTGAGAAGCATTTTCTTCTCCTCCCCCCAACAGATCTCCATCGCCTGTACATCCGCTCTTATCCCGCTGCTCGGTACATCGCCTCTCCTGTGAGTCCCCTGTTACTCCAGCCTTGCTTTTCCGATTCATGTGACCGAAGTTAGTAAACTGATTTCTGCAAGTACTGTTGAAGATCACAGGAGAGTGGTGAATTGATTTTGGAGCTGGAATGCCCAGAGAGACAGGTGCCATGGTGCAGTGTCGACCCCTTTCCATCATCGCGTGAGGCCATGCTGAGGCAAATGGCTTCCTTTCCTCTCTACTTCAATGGCCCCAAACCATTAGAGTGCACTATCAAGGCTGGAGAGATTCTTTATCTGTAAGCCACTTACCATCTCTTCCTTCCTTCTCGTTTTCCTTTGGGTTCAGCCTCATTGATTTCATTCAGAAATTTATATACGTAGCACCCAATCCTTATAAAATTCTCATTTTTGCAAAACGAACACCTTACTTATGGATAAAAATGTTAATTTTACTCTTATATAGTGGTGACAAAGATAAATTGGGAGCTTGATTTGCAAAATGAGAGTTTGAGTGTGAGATAGATAAATGCATAACAATTGTGTGCTGTTTGTGCAAATTCCCCTTAAATATTTAATGAAAGAAAGGATCTTTAATAAAATTCACTCATTTTTTTCTTAAAATGCAGGCCAAGTATGTGGTTTCATCATGTTAGACAGACCCCGGACTGCAATGGAACGACAATTGCTATTAATTACTGTGAGTTTATTTGCTATTATCATGTTTTTTAAGGGGGGTTTACATACATACCTAAACTTTAAATTCACATACTTTGTCACCTTAAAATCTCTAGCACCTCAATTCTACGATTTATCTCTAGGGGGGTGTTTGGCTACACTCCGGATTTAGATTTATCAAATTTAAAAAGGTTAAATCCGGAATAACTTTTGGCTCGATTAAGATTAAATTCCACTAAATTCTTATGAATTGTTTGGCAGCGAGATAAGCGACAACCGACAGATGTGTTTTCTTTCTAACTTAAAATTTAGCTAAGAACATGCATTACAAATTACATAGCTTATCCCTATAATATTGATTTGATTTCATGAATCCTCTATTTA